CCTGCAGGGTGGGATGTCTCTGTGGGATGGAAGGGGATGTCTCTGCAGGGTGGGATGTGCCTGCAGAGTGGGATATCCCTGCAATGTGGGATGGCCCTGTAGGGTGGGATGTCCCTGTGGGATGGAATGGGATGTCCCTGCAGGGTGGGATGTCCCTGCTGTGTGGGATGGCCCTGTGGGATGGAATGGGATGTCCCTGCAGGGTGGGATGTCCCTGCAGGGTGGGATGTCCCTGTGGGATGGAATGGGATGTCCCTATAGGGTGGGATGTCCCTGCTGTGTCGGATGTCCCTGCCGTGTGGGATGTCCCTGTGGGATGGAATGGGATGTCCCTACAGGATGGGATGTCCCTGCCGTGTGGGATGTCCCTACAGGATGGGATGTCCCTGCCGTGTGGGATGTCCCTGTGGGATGGAATGGGATGTCCCTGCCGTGTGGGATGTCCCTGTGGGATGGAATGGGATGTCCCTGCTGTGTGGGATGTCCCTGTGGGATGCCTGTCAAGCTCCAGCTCCCAGCCGTGCCCTCCTCCTGCCCTACATTCTGCTTCCTCCCGCCCAGCGTCCTCCCCGTGCTCAATGGGGGCTTTGTTTGGATGGAATGCAAACAAAACTCGGGCTGTGTGAAAAGGGCCAGCTCATCATTTGTACCTCTGCACTGGACTGGAAAATAATGTTTTCTCCCTCCCTCTCAAACCGGTGGCTGTGGGTCTGTCACTTGTCCAGAACAGTCACTTTGTGATTTAGTGGCAAGGAGGGGATCTTGGCAGGGGCTTGGGAAGGTGTAAAGTGATATGGAAATGATTATGGACTTAAAGCTGTTCTGCTGATGCAGCTCCTGGCTCTTCATTAACATCTTATATCTGAGAGAGCTGGAAGCACAAATCCCTTGAGCCAGTAGTTGTGTGTCCCCCAGGACATTCAAGGTTTGAGCCTGCACAGCTACAGGGGGGTTGTGGGCAGCATTCCCTGTGGCTGTGGGATGGAGGGGCCTGACTTCAGTGCTCAGTGTGAGCTGGCAGCCCCTGGAGCTGCTCCTGGGCCGTGGTTGCCATGGCTGGCAGAGCAGACTCTGTTTGTCTGAGGTTTTTTTGTGTGAGTGTTTGCACTGACATGGCATCCACTGCTGGTGCTCCCTAAAGCCTTGGTGCCCCAGGCCAGGAACCAGAAACTCTGTCAATGCTTCTGTCCTTTCTAAGGCTGAGTTCAGGTTTGTCACACCTGGGCCCATGGAATCATTGAGTCCCAAACTGGTTTGGGCTGAAAGGGACTCAGAGCCCACCCAGTGCCACCCCTGCCATGGCAGAGACACTGCCACTGTCCCAGGTGCTCCCAGCCCCAATGTCCAGCCTGGCCTTGGGCACTGCCAGGGATGCAGGGGCAGCCCCAGCTGTGCCAGGGCCTGCCCACCCTGCCAGGGAACAATTCCCAATTCCCAATCTCCCATCCAGCCCTGCCCTCTGGCACTGGGAGCCATTCCCTGGCTCCTGTCCCTCCATCCTTGTCCCCAGTCCCTCTGCAGCTCTCCTGGAGCCCCTCCAGGCCCTACCAGGGGCTCTGAGCTCTCCCTGGATCCTTCTCCTCTCCAGGTGAGCCCCCCCAGCTCTGCCAGCCTGGCTCCAGCCCTGGAGCAGCTCTGGGGTCTCCTCTGGGCTCTCCCAGCAGCTCCAGGGCCTCGTGCTGTTGGAATCCCCAGGGCTGGGGCAGCTCTGCAGGTGGGCTCTCACCTGGGCACAGGGACAGAATCCCCCCTTTCCTGCTGCCCACACTGGGGGATCAGCCCAGGGCACGGGGGGTTTGGGGCTCTCATGTCCAGCTCTCACCCACCAACACCCCCAGGCTGCTCTCAGCAACAGGTGGAGGTGTGGGATGGGAAGGAGATGCAGAAGTGAGCTGGGACCCGTGAGGATCTGCCTGTTGTGAGCTGTGCTGAAGGGTAGCAAACATTTCCATATCTTAATTGGAACATCTGCAGTTTATAAGGTTTTCTTTCCTAAGCCTGGCCATGTTCTTCCAGGTTTTCCTGTGAATTCCAGCTTGTCCTGCTGAAGGTGATAAATATCTTACCCACACTTAATGAGGGAGTAATTTCATGCTCATCTTTAATTCATGAGCTCTTTCATTATCCCCCTGTGATGACGAGATGTCTGTTCTTCAGCCAGTCAGGTTTTCTACCCATTGCACTCTTCAGCTCTTTCCTGAAGTGAATTTTCCTGGAAACATCCCCATATCTGTTTTCTGGGAAGCCTTTGTGTTTCTGCTGTTTATTGTCAACAGCCTGACTGGACAGGCACTACAGCCACGCAGGAGTCTCCTTTTGCCAGTGTGTTGGAAGTCCTGTGGAAGTGTTTCCAGGGAAATACATTGCTATTTATAACAACCTTTCTGCTCTGAAGGCTGAACTGGTATTATATTGGAATGGGAGCTGAGAATAACATGGGATTAGAGATTTATTTTATCCCCAAATACTGGAGTTGGCTAAATCCCTCACAGTGCAGAGAAGAGTTAATTTCCTTGGCTGGGTTAATAATTTACTTTATCTTAACACATAAAAAGTGGCTCTCAAACACTCTGCTGCATCTGGGCACAGCCCAGAGGTAACTGTCACCATATAAAATATTTCATTTACATGTTTGATGTTCATTTGTTCGGTTGTGTTGCTGGGGACACGACATGGCATCAAACAACTCCCTGAAATGCTGAAAAAAACCCCACAGGACTGGGTGGATGTGGGGCAGGTTTGTATCTTGGCAATCAATCACTGAGCAGGTTTATATTTCCAGTCACGTTTGTGTGATAGTTCCTACACTGATTCATCAATGTAACCTAATGTCAGGGATGCAGCAGTGCTGGGGCTGACAGGAGAACAAAGGAGCACTGACCTGACATGGGTGGGACATCCCAGGCTGCCCATCCTGGGATTAATGCACAGCCTTGGCCTCAAGTCACTGCAGGCCTTTAAATCCCACAATCCCAGAATTTCTCAGGTCAGAAAAGCTCTCCAGGATCATCAAGTGCCAGCTGTGACAGATCCCCACCTTGTCCCCAGCCCAGGGCACTCAGTGCCACGTCCAGGTGACACCTGCAGGGATGTCCTTCCATGCCCAGCTCAGAACTGGGAATTTCTGGGCTGGGTCGTGTCCAGCTCTCAGCCCAAAAAATTCTGTGTGCTGGGTGTTGGCTAAAAGGAGTTCAAGGCAGAGCTGCCATGCAAACTTCTTATGTAATAATGCATTTCATAAATTCTGTTTAATCTTGCTTGGTATAAAGTGACCTTGTAGATTTGGGAGGGAAGTTTGGGATTGCAGCTGCTGCCTTTTAAAAAGTCTAAATATAAGCAGGTTTTTGGAAAGCATGAGGAATGATCAGTGGTGTTCTCTGATTGGATTTGAAAGCCAGGATGGTGGCATCTAATTAGTGTCAGAGCAGTTGGAGGGGATGGTTTGGAGTGTTCCTGCTGCTCTGGTGTAGCTCTGCTGTAATTCTTGTGGGCAGCTTTGGGAAGGGAAGGTTGGACCTGGGACAGCTCTGGGTTCTCCTGCCAGGAGAGACCTGGAGAGGCTGAGGGAGCTGGGAAGGGAATGGAGCCCCAGGAGAGGCTGAGGGAGCTGGGAAGGGGCTCAGCCTGGAGAAAAGGAGGCTCAGGGGGGACCTTGTGGCTCTGCACAACTCCCTGACAGGAGGGGACAGCCAGGGGGGGTCGGGCTCTGCTGCCAGGGAACAGGGACAGGACAAGGGGAAATGGCCTCAGGCTGGGCCAGGCCAGGCTCAGGGTGGACACCAGCAGGAATTTCCCCATGGAAAGGGTGCTCAGGCCTTGGCAGGGAGGTTTGGAGTGCCCATCCCTGGAGGGGTTTAACAGTGTGTGGATGTGGCAGTTGAGATTTTCTTTATTGGTACTGAAAGTAAAAACCTTTCTCAATGGTCTGTGCTTGGCTGAGCTCTCAGAGTCTTGGTGGCACTTCTGCCAAGGCCTGGCTTTGGCTGTCCCATACCCAAGGCTGAGGCAGGGATGGGTCTGGACAAGGAGACTGAGCTCTGATAATTCTCCTTTTCTTGCTGGTTAAAGCTTTGAGTGCCTTGAAGCATTCTGCATCCCTGTGGAAGCTCAGGAATGTGCAGTGAGGCTGCCAGAGCTCCAGGAGCCTTTGGACAACACTCTCAGGCACAGGGGGGATTGTTGGGGTGTCCTGGCAGGGCCAGGAGTTGGACTGGAGGGGGATTTTTGAAGGACTTTTGAATAAGTCAGAGACAGCACTTCTGAGTTTCTAGATTATGTTTTTTATTGTTCTTATTTTTTTACATAGACAGGAAGGGTGAGATTGGCTTGCATTGTTACAGCAGGGTTCAGAAGGTCTCAAAACCCTTAGTTACAAGACTTTTTAAGGAGCTATGGACTAATAAAACACTGCTAATAAGGATATTTCTGATTTTGACCTAATCTTTAAATATTTCATCTTATGAACTCAAGCTTCAGTGTAAGCTTTCTTAGCTAATTATGTTATGACACACAACCTTCCAGTACTGCATTCTGAACTCCTTATTTGCTTTGGTAGCTACTTTATTGTTTTATATCTTAAACTAAAGCTCTAAACTTTCTGAGACACTGTGTGTCTCTGCTTTGAATTATAAATCTACGTTCTCCCTTTCAGCACTGAAGTTTGGAAGCCTTTTGCAAGGTCTCAGATCAAATCCTGTGTTTAATTCTAAGCTTTGGCTTACAGGCCCAGAGTTCTGAGAGTTGCCTGCAGTGGATGATCCCTGTGGCTCCTTCCTGCTCAGGGTGTTCCAGAGCAGACCCCTGAGGCCATGGCTGTGCTGATGTCCCAATCTCCCTTCCCATTTCTGTGTCCCTGGACATCCCTGGTTTACCTGGCAGCTCAATAAAAGAAGAAAAAAGCAGCTGATCAGTCTCAGCTATTCAGAGTTGATGTGAAATTGATTTTTTTTTAAAATAACGAAACACTAATTACTTATTTATGTGGTTTTTTTTTATTTTAGGGATAGACTTCAAGATTAAAACTGTTGAATTGCAAGGAAAGAAGATCAAGCTACAGATCTGGTGAGTAACACTGAGCTTCCTTCAGCAGCAGGTGTTCCTGGGGAGGGTTTGCTCTTGCTGGATTCCCTTCAGGGATGCAGGTTTGCAGTTGTGTTCTGTGTTTCCACAGGGGTAACTCCACTCCATGTTTGTGTCTGGAGCAGTAGCAGTGCTTGTAACCACTGGGCCTGGCTGCTGGCAAACCTCCTGTTGGGTGGGAGAACATCCTCACAGCCTGTGATTTAGTGGGAAGTGGTTTAAAACTGGAATTTTTAAATGAGGAGTTGCCTCCAGCCTGTGACTATAAATTGACTCGTAGCCTTGCTTTGTGTCAGCAAGAAAATGCAATCCAGGGCTGCACTGGGCTGGAATTTTCCATGCTCAGCTGTAGAGAGGTTCTGAGCTGGCTGGAACACAGCTGCTCTGTGGGGATGTCTGACAAGAGGCAAAGCCTCAGCTCCTTCCTTTGAGCTTCTGTGCTTTGAACCAGAGGCTTTTTACCAGGTCAGGTCAGGAGAGCTGGTGGCTTTTCCTGGCCCGTGGGGCTGGCTGGGCTCCTGCTCACTCTGCATTCTGCAGCTCCACTCAAGGGCTCTGAGCTGGGATTTGTCCCTTGTGTCCCACTCAACAACTCCATGGCTTTATAACCTTGGTGTCTGTAGGTGCAGGGGGGTGGGTTCCAGTTTGGGGGGACACTGATCTTTCCAGTCATCCCATGATAATTATGAGTGATTATCCTTCCTAACCAGGCATCTGGAGCCTTCCTGTCAGCAGCACCCTGAGGAAGTGTTAGAGCTGCCAGTAGGTTTGGATGGGATCTTGGGAATTGGGAATTGTTCCCTGGCAGGGTGGGCAGGCCCTGGCACAGCTGGGGCTGCCCCTGCATCCCTGGCAGTGCCCAAGGCCAGGCTGGACACTGGGACACCCTGGGACAGTGGAAGTGTCCCTGCCATGACAGGATGAGCTTTAAGGTCCTTTCCAACCCAAACCATTCCATAACTCTATGATTAAACTTAGAAAAATGAGGATATTTAATGCAGGTATAAAGAGCAAGATGTAATGAAGCTGTACAGATTGTGAGGTTTAGTGCCTTGGGGAAGTGGACTTGGGTGAGCTGAGATTTATACAGTGGCAACTTTTAAATGTCACAAAATTGGGAAGTTGTGGCCTGAATGTGCTGCTTGTTTCTGCTGGGTTCAAATTGCACATTCGAAATGAAACTTGGAAAGCAGAAAATGAAACTCCTACAGAAAAAAAAATAAATAAAATAAAATCTCAGTGTTGTGTTTCCAACTTTTCCTGTAGCAGGAGTTTGCCCAGCAGTGGCTCAGTGTCTTGTGGAGGAGTTTTGTGCAGTGCATCTCTACTTCCCCACTGCTTCCTGCCTTTGAACTCACTCCACACATGCAGGAGCTCTGCAACATTCCCAGAACAATGCAAGGCAGCAGCTGAGTGAGCAGGGGATGGATTTAGGGGAACATTTCTCTGGATCTGCAGTTGGTTCTATTAAACTTTAGGAGATTCCCATGGGCCACCTCTGGAGCTTGTGCAAGTCCCTCTGGCTGGCCCTGTCCTTCAGGTGTGCCACCACACCACTCCACACAGCAGGACAGCTCCTTACCTCTTCCTGGCTGTGGAAAAGGACCCTCTGACAGTCTTACATCCTTGCCCTGACCTCTGAAATTATATTTAGGACTAAAGCAGGAACACAAAGGTCAGGCTGAATTCAAACCTGCCTGAGGGGTGAGAAGTAACTCAATACTCAGTAGCTGTTAAGGTTGGGTGCTGCTCTGGAAGGAGCAGACTGGGTTAGAGTTCTCCTGCTGCTCCAAATGGAAATGTGCCTGTGAGGAGCAGGGTGGGACACAGCCCTGGACTGGCCTTCCAAAGAAATGAGCTTTCAGGAGAGCCAGTGTGTGTCAGATTCTGGGTGGAAGCAATCCAGGAGCTGAGCATCTCCTTGTCCAGCTTCTCTTTGGGAGAACTGCTGCTGGGACAGTCACTAGTGATGGGCCTGCTCCAGCAGCTGGGAGAAGGGAATTCTCCCAAATACACATTTGGGGAGTGGAAACACTTCCAAAGGCTGGGAGCTGGAGGGGTTTACAGTGCTGAATGGCTGGAAGAATATTCACAATGTCATGGTGCAGAGAAGGAATGAAGGAGCAGAGTGAGAGATCCAGGAGAAGATGCTGCTGGCTTTGCTGAAGACTTCAGAGGGACAGGGAGCTAAAAATTTGGTGTGATATCACACATTCAGGAATCAGGTGGAGTTGCTTTGAAATGGAAACCAAAAGGCTTTTGGCATCCTCAAGTTCCCAGAACTCATTAACACAATGGAGCCACTGAGAAATGAAGTGGGGTTTTCCTGATGGCGTGGGCAGGAAGTGAGTGTGGCACAGGACACGGGTTTGATCAGCACTGCCTGGGGAGAAAGGGACTTTTTTAGGGAGAACAACTGGAAAAATGAGGGTTCTTCATGATGTCAGAGCACGTCTTGAAAATCCTGGATATCCTGAACAGGTAGGGAGGGTCTGATAGAACTTGCTGCCTTTTTCCAACACCAGAACATCAGTTCTGGCCTGAGGCTGGAAAGTGGCATGTGGAAAACACCAGGAAACAAAGTTTTGCTGGGAAACTCCTCATGGGATGTAGGGATAGCTGCAGGTGTCCATGGACAGGTTCACAAGGGATTTCACAAGAGCCTGGTCAGGTTTGGACTCTCAAAACTAGAGGGGATCCCTGGTTCCAGAATTCCTTAAGCACTGGGAAATGGAAGCTGGAAAAGCTCTGGGCTGCTCAGGTGCAGCTCTGAGGTGTCAGGAGGCACCAAAAGCAGAGCTGGGTTTGGTATCCAGGCAAAGCACAGGCTCAAAAGAATGTAACTAGCAGCTAAAAATGTAATTTTTTCTTTTTTTCCTACTTAGCTGCTCCTCCAACTCTCCTACCTTTAATGACATTTGTGTGTCAGCCTGTTTTCCTGCAGTCTTCCTGACTGATTCCAAATTTGAGGAGCAGCTTTATGCTTTACTGTGTAGCTCCTAGCTTTGTGGAGGACAATAAAATAACATTTTTCTCTCAGTGCATCTCTACTGGCAGCACATTTACATGGCCAAAGGAGTGTCCTCAGGATCTTGGAGAAAAGGGGACTCAGGGGTGAACTTATCACCCTCTACACCGAGCTCTTGGGGCTGGGTTGGACTCAAGGGCTTGGAGGTCTCTTCCAACCCAGTGATTCTGTGATTTTTTTCCTGGCTGAGTATTACTCAGAAAAGCTGAAATTTCCCAGTCATGAAGTACCTGACAGAGCACAGAACCCCAGGATTACTGAGGTGTGAAAATCCCTCCATGGCCATGGAGTCCAGGCTGTGCCAAATCCCCACTTTGTCACCAGCCCAGGGCACTCAGTGCCACATCCAGGATGTGCCCACACCCTGGGCAGCTCCTTCCAAGGCCTGAGCACCCTTTCCATGGATCCAGCCTGCCCAGATCCCATCCAGGGGCTGACTGAGGGTGCCCTCAATGCCCTCCCAGCCCATCCATGAAGGTGTTGAGCAGGTCTAACCCAGCCCTGAGCCCCCTGGTGCCCCTTCCCACCTGGATGTCCCTCCATGGCCAGGTTTATGCAGCCAGGAGAGCTGAGCCAGGGACACTTTTCCCTTTGGGAGGGGAAATCCTCAGCCTGGTGTTCCCCAGTCCCTCCAGTGCAACACTGGGCTGCACAGTTCTGCAAATGTAACAACACTGGGACAGCAATAAAATTCTTGGGATTATTTTGCTAAGAATTACATGGTTTAATATGTTGAAGAGCTTCATTTTGAGGCACGTGGGCTGGCAGGATGCTCACAAATCATCGGATCTAATCTCTTCTTGCTGCAGCCATGTAAATCTTTCATCAATAAATCATAATACATTTTAAGGTTTCTTTAGTCTCTGCCAGGTCAGCTGGAAAGCTGTCCCAGAAATTCCTTTCTCTCCAGGTTAAACCTCTAACATGATACAGCTTATGCATATTTTAATGTTGGCATGAGAATAATTCAGATAGATTTTTCACTTTCCTTAGAGCATCTCCTTTCCCCAGTCCCACAGGACAGCCTCCTTTGTCTTCACAAAGCTGAACATCCAAGCTCCCACCCTTTCCTGCCATGTTTCATTCTCCTTGGCCCTTTCAATAATCCTTGCCCACATTCATGGGAGCTGGGAGAGCGAGCCACTTTGTGCCTACACCCAAAGCTTTGGAGCCTGCTGCCACATCCCAGAGGTTTGAACAGAGGGCTGGGGAGCCAGGGCAGCAAACATCCCCTGTGTGCTCCCAGTGCCTGCTGCAGTTTGCCCAGGGTGGATCCAGCACCCAGAGAGCCATAACTCATTTCCTGTTTGCCTCAGCCAGCTCTAATCTCCAGCCATTAGGAGTTATCTCTGAATAATGAATGGAGAATCCATTAACCAGGGGAAAGGGCAGCTATGGCATTTCTTTTTAAAAAAATAAATAAATAAAAAGGGAAACACTTCAGGTTTTTCTCTTCTTCCCTCCCCAGCTTTCTTCCCTTCCATTAGCTGAGCTCCAGTTGCCAGAGAAAACAGTGGAGGAGTTAACCAGGCTAGCCAGCTGTAGGATGTGACAAGCAGTGAGTAGCAGCCAAGTTGTGTGAAACCACTCAGAATTGTTCCTGTGACAGCTGCTGGCCTGTGGCAGCAGGGAGGAATCACAGATCCCAAAAATCTGCTGGGCTTGGTCAGGTTTTTCCAGCACTGTCCTGCTTGGTAGGAGCCAGTGGGAGGGAGTGACCTGGGAGAAGGTGCTGGCAGGTGGGTACAGAACGTGGGGAGAGAGAAAATAATGATGGTGTGAGTGGAGATCTGTGGAGATGCCTTGCAGGAGATTGTCCTGAGTGAAGGAAAGGATCCCTCTCTCTCTGGGATGTGCTAGCAAAGCCATCAATTAAAGGATTAAACTCCTCCATGAATTAATTCATGGAATCCCAGAATGGTTTGGGTGGGAAGGGACCTTAAAGCCCATCCCATTCCCACCCCTGCCATGGCAGGGACACTGCCACTGTCCCAGGGTGTCCCAGTGTCCAGCCTGGCCTTGGGCACTGCCAGGGATCCAGGGGCAGCCCCAGCTGTGCCAGGGCCTGCCCTCCCTGCCAGGGAAGAGTTAACAGCTGGGACAAGGAGAGAGACTCTGGGGCTTGTGTGGAAGATAAGCCAGAAAAGGTGAAGCTGTAAAGCTTAAATCCAGTCAAGGAGTTGATTTAAACTAATAAAAAATTCCAGCTGCTCTCAGCCAGCTGGAGAAATGTCACTGGAAAAAAGTCCTGTGAAATTGAGTGCAGCCAAATGCCAGGTCCTGGAGTTCAGTGTGGGAGCAGTGTGCTCCTTGTGAGGGCAGGGAGTGGGGTGAGCAACCAGGAATGCCTGGAGATGTCCCAGTGTGGGGCTGGTGAGGCTCCAGCTGAGTGTCCTGGGTGTTCCTGGGGACATGGGCACTGGGAACAGTCCCAGGCAGCGGGAGCTGGGCTGTACCTGAGCCCTTTGGCCAGTCACAGCAGGCTGGGGAAGGTTCCAGCAGCACAGCAGACATTTTCAGGAACATTTCGTGGGTGTTTTGTGGAGCTGGGGGTGGACTCAGTGACCTCCTGGGGCCGCAGGAAGAGATCCAGGCCTGGCAGGGCATCCCTGGGTTCGGGACCTGGCTGTCCCCTCTGCTTTTTGCCCTTGTCCTGGTGCCACCAGCTCCAGGAGCAGCTGGACATCAGTGCCTGAGGGTGCTGGGCTGTGAGCCAGGAGCTGGGGGTCAGGGAGACACTGGGCCTTTCTGGAGGGGTTATGGAGTGTGTCACCTTGCTTTAGACTAGTTTAAATTTGGGAACACCTTGAAATGGAATGGGTGGAAAGGGACCTTAAAGTTCATCCAGTGCCATGGCAGGGACACTGCCACTGTGCCAGGGTGTCCCAGTGTCCAACCTGGTGTGGGGCACTGCCAGGGATGCAGGGGCAGCCCCAGCTGTGCCAGGGCCTGCCCACCCTGCCAGGGAACAATTCCCAATTCCCAATCTCCCATCCAGCCCTGCCCTCTGGCAGTGGGAGCCATTCCCTGGCTCCTGTCCCTCCATCCTTGTCCCCAGTCCCTCTGCAGCTCTCCTGGAGCCCCTTCAGGCCCTGCCAGGGGCTCTGAGCTCTCCCTGGATCCTTCTCCTCTCCAGGTGAGCCCCCCCAGCTCTGCCAGCCTGGCTCCAGCCCTGGAGCAGCTCCGGGGTCTCCTCCAGCAGCTCCGTGTCCTCCTGACACGGACAGCGTCACTGAAAACTGCAAGCCTCCAATCTGAATCACATCACTTCCAATTAATTCTCAATTAATTCTCAGAGCAAGTTGAAGCTTTGGAAGGCTGACCTGAGAACAGAATTGCTCTCAGGGTTAGGTGGGGGTCCCAGGGGGTGTTGGGTTCTTGCTCTTGTGGGCCCACCCTGCTTCCCTCAGAGCTGTCTGCGGCACGTGCTGTTACATAGAAATAAAACATTATTTAAAAATAACTTATTTCAATTAAACTAATAAGTTCTCGTTAAAAAAATTAGAAAAATAAAAATTAATTTACATTACAATCTGTCTTTATTAAAAAATCAACTCACACCTGTAAAAAAAAGAAAATTTTACTCATATAAAGCACTCACTTCCCAGAGTGCAAAAACTACCTAAAACTACCTTAAAAATTAATTAATTAATGTAAACGACCTGAAAAAAATCAATTAGCATGCAGTGAAATTATATTTAAACTATATAAATAAAAATGTAACATATTAAAAATATGTGAATTAAAATTTAAAACAATTTATTAAAACTATGTTAATAAAAAATTTCAAAATTGTATTACAACTGTGTAAATGAAAATTTAAAAAAAAGATATTAAAACTGTAAGTAAAAATTTTTTAGATTATATTACAACTGTGTAAATGAAAATTTTAAAAAATATATGAAAACTGTAAATGAAAATTTTAAAAAATACCTGAAACCTGTAAATGAAAATTTTAAAAATTATATTACAGCTGTGTAAATGAAAATTTAAAAAAATATATGAAAACTAAATAAAAATTTAAAAAATTATATTGCAACTATATAAATGAAAATTTAAAAAAATATATTAAAACTGTAAATAAAAATTTTTAAAATTATATTCCAACTATATAAATGAAAATGAAAAAAATATGTTAAAACTGTAAATAAAAGTTTTTAAAATTATATTACAACTGTGTAAATGAAAAATTTTAAAAAATACATGAAAACTGTAAATAAAAATTTTTAAAATTATATTGCAACTATATAAATGAAAATGAAAAAAATATATTAAATTTAAATAAAAATACAAAAATATATTAAAATACCTAAACAATTTTATACATTTTAATTAAAACCACGTACACAAAACTTCTAAAACCACATTTTTTCAATGTAAAAAATTTAAAATTAATTAAAAAAACCACACAAACCTATTTAGAACTAGAACAATTCTGGGTAATCTATTTAAGAAACCAGAACAGTTGTGGGCAAAGCCAGGCGAGCGCGCGGCCGTGACGCGCTGCGCTGTCTCGGCAGGGACACGGCGGGCCAGGAGCGCTTCCACACCATCACCACCTCCTACTACCGAGGGGCCATGGGCATCATGCTGGTCTACGACATCACCAACGCCAAGAGCTTCGAGAACATCAGCAAGTGGCTCAGGAACATCGACGAGGTGAGTGCCGGGGGTCCCCAGAGCTCGGCTCTGCCGGGGGTCGCTGGTTTTTGGATTCCTTTTCGTGCCGCTGTCCAGGGTTGAAGGCACTCAAGAAGATGGGTCACGTTCAGGTGTTGAGTGTTTCTTACAGCCTCACAGCTGTGGGTTCTGCGCTAGCAAGGCACAAGATGGCCAGCTGGCTCTTGGTGCAAGGTTTTTGAAGGTTAAATTATCCAATTAGGAAATGACACCTAAATTATTTTCACTTTTAACCCAATAATTCATCCCTCAAACTCCGCAGGGTGGGCTTTTCTGTCCAATTACAAAATACCACCCAAACCCGTGAAGAAGAAGGACCAGCCTCTGCCCCAAAACCTCCATCTTGCCCCATATATATTTCTATATTCTAGAACCCCAAACTCTGAGTTTCCCACCCTGTGCTGTCACCCACTTCTAACCAACTCCACACCCACAATCCCAATGCTCTCAATCAATTCTGGAAGCCTTCTCCAGCTCACATGCAGTGTTCTCCTGGGGTCCAGAGCCTGTCAGCACAGAAATCTGAAATTCCCAGCAGCCAAAACTCAACAAGGGGGGCTGGACACTAAACAGGATGCTGTGGTGTCCTGAAACACCCACTGTGTGCATGAGCAAAGTGTGTGCTTGTGCTGGAGGAGGCTGGGCAGTGAGGAGCTCGCTGGGAGCAGCTTTGGGAGCAGCTCAGAGCACACGGGGAGGGCACAGGGGCAGCACAGCCAGGAGGGGCTGCAGAGTAGCTACACTGTGTGTTACTACTCACAGCAGCTGTTCCTCAGTGTCTGGGTTTGAAAGGTGTGTGCTAAGGGAGGCATGATGATGATGATGATGATGATGATGATGATGATGATGATGATGATGATGATGATGATGATGATGATGATGATGATGATGATGATGATGATGATGATGATGATGATGATGATGATGATGATGATGATGATGATGATGATTCAGGCTGGTCTGCAGGCAGAGCTGGGGATTCCGTCCTCACAAGAGATTAGCAGATTCCTGCTTTTCAGTCCTACACTCCTTGTCCCCTCCTTAGTGAACATCCTTTCAGGTCAGGGTGAGAAGCAAAAAGGATCCAAGCAGGTACTGGACTTCGTGCCCATCCTTAGACATCACCTAGGTGCCCTAATTCTGTGTTGGCTCATTGTTTTTAGGGGTTTTCCTGGAAAACGGGAAGATTTGGAGCAATGCATTTCTCATCTGCATACGAGCTCTGATGTCACTCCCATTCTCCTGGTACTGCAGGGTCCCAGTGTCCCAGCACCAGGGGGACAATGGCTAATCACCAACCATTAACAGGCAATTAAAGAAGAACTCTTAACGATGAAGCTAACTTAACAGCAACCGGTCCAACCGGTTTTAACCCTGCAACCTTAAACAAAAATAGATAACTTTTTATTCATAACAAGAATGCCATGCGAAAAGGTGCCAAAGGCTTCAGCAAAGCCCAGGCAGATGCATCCACAGCCTTTCCCTCCTCCTTTGAGGTCACAGAAGGAGATCAGGGTGGTCAAGCAGGACCTGTCACAAAGCCAGACTGGCTGGACCTGATCTCCTGCTTGTCCTGCACGAGCTGTGTGACCACAGCCCAGGTGATCTGCTCCAGCTCCTGGAGTTCTGCATCCTCCTTCAGTACTTCTGGAACCTGGTGTTATAGGTAAAAATTCCATCAAGCCAATTTAGTAATTAATAAAAAATAGAATTTATTTCACGACTGATGTACAGTCTCGATAGCTAACAATCAAAGGGACAGCCCCGACCCCGGGATAGGAGCTGGGTGAACACTGACTGCAATTCCCTCTGTTCACTTAGGCTGTGGGTAGAGTCAGTTTTTATACTGTTTTTCCTGCCCCAGGCAGAGTCTCTTTTCTTCTTTTCAGGGCTTCACATATTTATGTTGTTGGTTTTTTTTTTTTTCCTCTGGGTTGAGTTGAACAAAACTGTGTCTGGGTTTCTTTTCTTCTTTTCAGGGCTTCACACATTTATGTTGTTTTTTTTTTTTCTCTGGGTTGAGTTGAACAAAACTGTGTCTGGGTTTCTTTTCTTCTTTTCAGGGTTTCACACATTTATGTTGTTTTTATTTTTTTTTTCTCTCTGGGTTGAGTTGAACAAAGCTGTGCCTGGGAAGTGATGGGTGCCAATCATGAGTTACTGGAACCTGGCATTGAGATGCGAGCTCCTGATGGCTCTGGCCATCTCGATTAGGCACTCACTCATCGAGCACTCACTGTTGAACCATCCCTGAGAAAAGGCTCATTCCTCGCTGGTCTATTAGCTGCTAATTAGATGTCTCTCTCTGCTGCCTGCTGTGGTTTCGCAATTTTGTGAAGCAACCTCTCCGTTTTTGCCTGGCGTGCTTAAAACTTTTAAGATTTCTTACAAACATAACATAGTCCCCATATATTTCACATGAGCACAAATTATTCCAAAATATATATAACATCCTTATCCCTGCCAGGCTCACAGTGCATCCTCCTGCCCCACACCCTGCAGGAAACACGGACCCTTCCCCTCCCTGCTCCTTTGGAGACCCTGCCCACTCTCTGCTTGTGTTTCTGGTTCCATTCTCTCCCTCATTTCTCTCTTTGGGTCCTGCCCCCTGTTTTCCTCCCCACTCCCTCTTTGTCCCCTGGTTTATCTCTCACATTGTGCAGTGACAAAGCAAGGAGGGAAAAACCTTTAACCAGTGCTAAGAAGTCGTTAGAGGCTGGGGTTAATTAACAGCTTGTTCCTCTGCCGCTGCAGTGAGTGAAGCTCCATTGTGGGCAGCTGTAAATGTCCCCAGATTGCAGGTGCAGATAATGGCCTGGCCACACCCGAGTGGAGCAGATATTTTGGGTGTGAAGGGGAGATGTGTGACCCTGTAACCCTGTCCCTGTGTCCTTCCAGCACGCCAACGAGGATGTGGAGAGGATGCTGTTAGGAAACAAGTGTGACATGGAAGATAAAAGAGTTGTCCCTAAAGCAAAAGGTGAACAGGTGAGTATCACACAAAAACTTCTTTATCCAAGTCAGCCAATACTGCCAAGACTTCTGCCTGCTCCGGGGGGTTGGGATGCCCCAGAGGGGTGTGCCAGGGATTGAATGCAGGAGCTGATGGATGTGAGTCCTGGGAATGTTTGCTCAGAAACTGCCGTGAATGGGGTGAGCTCAGCTGCAGTTTCTGCTTCCTTTGATAACTCAGCATTCCCAGACGTCCCTGAAGTTCCTCACAGTGTCACAGTGTGTGGTGTCTGTCCTCTTAGGCCCAGACACAGCCTGGGGATTATTTAGTTGATTTAAATGTTCTGAACTGTGAAGTTCTGAATCTTCTCAGCTACCTCACCTGGCTGGTGCTGCTGGTGCCCACTGGGGCTGAGGGAGTCACAGAATTAGAGAATCCCTGAGGCTGGGAAAGAGCTCCCAGAGTGTGAAGGGGCCCAGAGCTGCCCCCAGCACTGGAGGTGCCCCAGCAGTGCCAGCACAGGGGACGGGCACTGCCCTGGCCCTGCTGCCACCCCAGAGCTGGCACAGACTAGGGGCCAGTGGCCTCTGGGCACACCTGGGCACCCCTGAGTTCATGTCTAGTCAAGAATTCCCTGCTTTATAAATGCTGCTGATCCCAAAACGGTGATGGCACCACTGGAACATCCCCAGCATCTCTAACCTCCCTGTCTCTGTTTGCTGCAGATTGCCAGGGAGCACGGTATTAGGTTTTTTGAAACTAGTGCAAAAGCAAATATAAACATTGAGAAGGCATTCCTCACATTAGCAGAAGACATTCTTCGAAAGGTAGGTGCTCACAGCATTCCTTTGGAACAAATATCCTGAAATTCCAGCTCTCCTGTTGTGATGTTCACCTGTGTTATTGCAGTTTGACTTTGCTGTGCTGCAAAGGAGTCCCTGAAGGAGCAGGGCTGAACTTCTGTAGCTTGTTTGATGTTTTGTTGTTGTAGGGGGCCTGCCTACAGGGAGTAACATCCATCAGATCCAGGGAACTGATATTCCTGTTTGTTTGGCCCTTACACTCAGGGTTGTGCCTGTGCTGGAGTTAAATATTTCCACTGGTGTGGAGGGAATTGTCCTTTCCTGCCACTGTGTCTGTCCATGCACTGACAGCTCCTGTGGGGCAGTTGGGAACAGTTCAGGTGTGGAGGGTGGGGCAGGAACAATCTCTGCCCCTCCCAGCTGTGCTCCCAGCCATGGCATGTCCTTGGGGGTGGTTCCATTGCCCCACATCATCTGGTGGTTGGCTCCTCTTCCTCAGAGGTGCAGCGTGCCGTGGAACCATGGAGTCAGTGAGGCTGGAAAAGCTCTCTGAGCTTTACCAAGGCAAATCATCCCCCAGCACTGCCAGAGCCACCACTGATCCATGTCTCCAAGTGCCACATCCACAGGGCTTTTAAATCCCTCCAGGGATGGGACTCCACCACCACTGCCCTGGGCCTTTTCCAATGTTTAACAACACTTTGCAGGAAAAAATTCCTCCTGGTGTCCAAGCTGAGCCTGCCCTGGCCCAGCCTGAGGCCATTTCCCCTTGTCCTGTCCCTGTTCCCTGGCAGCAGAGCCTGACCCCCCTGGCTGTCCCCTCCTGTCAGGGAGTTGTGCAGAGCCACAAGGTCCCCCCTGAGCCTCCTTTTCTCCAGGCTGAGCCCCTTCCCAGCTCCCTCAGCCTCTGCTGGGGCTCCATTCCCTTCCCAGCTCCCTCAGCCTCTCCTGGGGCTCCATTCCCTTCCCAGCTCCATTCCCTGCCCTGGACACGCTCCAGCCCCTCCAGGTCTCTCCTGGCAGGAGGGGCCCAGAGCTGCCCCCAGCACTGGAGGTGCCCCAGCAGTGCCAGCACAGGGGACGGGCACTGCCCTGGCCCTGCTGCCACCCTGGGTTGTCTCCATGGCCTGTGGCAGATCCCTGTGTGCCCAGAGCTGCTGTACCTGTGGCCCTGATCTCTGTCAGGAACGTGAAATCCCTCAGCTTCCTGCAGGTGCCACTGAAGTGTTCCAGGACTGAGCTGGGCTGGATCCCTGCGTGGCTCTGGGGCTGTTTCTGTGGGATGTGCTCCCATGGCCAAGGGCTCAGTGTACACAGAAACCCCTGTGCTGGAACATTCCTGCCTAGGAGCAGCTCATGGGAGCTCTGCAGCTCCAGACACGTGGGCTGGCCAGCCCTGGCCCTTGTTGTTCCTGTCCCTGCACAAATGAACCCCATCCCAAGCCTGGCTCAGCCCTGCTTTCCTCCCTCTCCCATGTGGATAACGTCACCCAGTTGTCACTGCAGTCCTGTCATCTCTTAATCAGTTTTTGACAAGCTTTGTGTGATAAATGGGGTGAAAACCCCTGGCCTTTGGTGAACAGGAGGTCAAGCTGCAAACATACCAACCTTTGGGTCTTAAATCTTCATTTTTGGCCTCTGTCATTATCCTGGGGGTTCTTTTGCAAGGCTGTGGCAGAGGGAGTTAAAAAGGGAATGTGGAGAGTGAAGTGTGGTGAGGGTTTAGCTTCCTTTCCAGACAGCTGGAAGTAGATGTTGGTGTTGGATCAAACCCACTGGAGTGGGGTTTTGGCTTTGGTGTCACCAGGTTCCGTCCTGTGACAAGGAGGAGCTTGTGTGCCCTTCCTTGGCAGCTGCTGTGCCACGAGCAGGGAGCAGAGGCTGGGAACAAGCCCAGTTTATCCATAAAAACTGTGGGTTTTGGAGGTCACTAGTTCCCATCATCTGAGTTCAGCTTGTGGTGTTTGCAGGCTGGGATTTCCTTGCTCCACCAAACCCAGCGTTGGCTCTGCGTGCAGGACCTAAAACAGTTCCACTTGTCTTTGGGGTGGTCCCAGTTCAAACTCTGGGCTTTTTCCCAGTTTCCCATTTATTTAAAACAAACCAAACAACAAAGAAAAAAACCCCTTAAGTTGGTTTTGCACATTTGTGCTGGAGTGGGGGGAGGATTCGCTGCGTTTCCGAGGAGCTCTTTGTGCACAGCTGATCCCACTTCCCTCTGCTGATGCCACCCCCCGGCTCTGGGTGTTTTCCTGGGGGATCTCCAGAGCCACCTAACTGTGTTCACTTGTTTTCCTTGCAGACCCCTGTAAAAGAGCCCAACAGTGAAAATGTAGATATCAGCAGTGGCGGTGGGGTGACGGGCTGGAAGAGCAAGTGCTGCTGAACCTTCTCCTCTCTCACCAATCGCCATCCACCGCCCCTTTTTTCTCGCTGCAAAACAAACCACTCTGCCCGTTTTTTTAACCTCAAACCAATGGTTTTGTTCCTCATCTTAACCAGCTCCTGCCTCCCCTTGGTTTTCCGGCTAGGACAGCTTTTCCTCCTCCAGTTTTCTCGACACATGTATAGGAAATTCATCTCCGTGACTTCATTTCCATGTCCCTGCTCAGCTCACCACTACGTTTGGGTTGTATTATAGTCCCGTCCCTCCTGCCATTAAACCCCAGAGCAATCATACTCAACTCTCTTCTGCGAATTGTATAAGAATAAAGGTTAGAATTAACAATTGATTTTGTACAACAGTGGAATTTTCTGTCATGGATCATGTGCTTGAGTCACCACATTCTCTAGATGCATCAGGCAAGAGCCAGGAAAAACTCATTTTCGCCTTGAGTCCGTGAGTGGGGTTTCTTTGTCCTGTGCCTTATGTGGAAAAAGGAACTTTTATTTTCACTTTCTTTTCTCTCTTCTGGTGGAAGCATGTGCAGGAGACATCCCATCCCCCCGTGCCATTGAGTCCTGACCTCTATAGTGGTTGCTTTCTGTAACGTTGGTGTCATGCATCGAGGACAAAGGGTGGTGCAAAACAAAAGCAAACTCCATGTAACCTGCTGTGTCTCCTCTTGCCAATCCCGCCGTTCCCAACTCTTCCTGCTGCCATTTTTTTTTCTCACTTTGCCGCTCTTTTTTTTTACTTTCTTTTATTTTTTTTTTTTTGCCTGCATGCTGCTTTGATTTGCATTTCTCCATGGTGTGATGTGTTAATGGAAAGGATGGCAACGCGGTGTGTTTGCCAAAAAATTTAATACAAAGCACTGATTTAGCTTCCGAGGTAAAAATGTTGAGATTCCTACTAACCCCCCTAGGCCTGTCCGTCACTAGTGGTTCCCTCCTCCCGCGTAGCCCCGGCCTTTCCCCCCATATGGAAGAGTTATTTGCATGCACTAGTTTCTATGGAGGGTGATGTGGTTGTCTACTTTCTGTGTATGAATATAACATGGATTCCCAAACTGACAGCAGTTCATTAACACGAGCTCCCAGCTTCTGTCCCCGAGGGCTGCGGGGCCGGGCCGAGGCTGAGCGGAACTGGATGGAAAGAGAAGGAAAGGAAAGGAAAGAAACCAGCCAGAGGGCAGTTTAATTTATTACCTCCCTGGAAACTTTCCACTTTCCAGTGTCCGCAGCCGCGCCGGCCGTGCCGGGCCAGCCCCGCCCGGGATCCCGGCGGGCGATCCCCGGCACGGAGCGGCCGTTCCGGCCTCCCTGCCGCTGTCACCCGGCCCTGCTGGCCCTGTCCTGCCACTCCTGCCGCTGTCACCCGGCCCTGCTGGCCCTGTCCTGCCTCAGGAGGGGCCCGGCACCGCCGCTGCCGAGCGCTCTCCCTGCGGGAGCATCTGCCCCACGTGGATCGCCGGCCGCCGATCCCCGGCGCTGAATCCCGGCCCCGGCGGGGAGGAAACGCCGCAGCCGCCCCGAGCCCTGCTCCGTTCCTGGGCCCCGCCTGTGCCTCGCTCCGCCCGCGGCCTTGGCACCGGGACTGGCACGGGACTGGCACGGGACTGGCACGGGACTGGCACCGCTCCGCCCTCGCCGCAGCCGCTAACGCTGAGTGAATTTTAATGAAATGACGGTGTTTTAACACGGAACTCCTGGTCCGGAGCGGCTCCTTCCCGTGTGGGGACTCACCCAGGTGTCTCCCTGTCCCTCTGTATTTGGCATTTTGTCCCCGTGTGTGTTAACCCTTCCCAGGCGAGTGGCTGGTGAGCTGGGGCTCAGCGTTGTACAGAGTCCGGCCACTTTCGGCTAAATCTGCACTTTCTAACGCGATCAAAAAGGGAAAAAAAAAAATGGCGAAATCTACATCAAGGGGTTTTTTTGTATAATCCTTGTTTTAAACGTGAGCTTTTTATTTGCTTGCGGGGGCTCGGCTCCCTGTGTGTGACCCCTTTGTAGACGCTGTGCCCGTCGCAGGCACAGGTGGAGCCCAGGCCACTCGCTGGTGCCACTCGCTGCCGCCGCCGCCCCCTCGTCCCTCCCCGTCAATAAAACTGAGCTGTTTCTCTCGGGTCTATTTCTGTTCCTGTCCAAGCTGCACCCGCGGGCTCAGGCAGGGCAGGGCCGGGAGGAGGGAGCAGCTGAATGCTGAAACAGATAAAAAACCCCTAAAAAAAAATTAATAATAATAATGATCATGTCGGAGGAGTTTGCAGTAACTTGATGTCTGCTGGTATCTCAACTCCCTGCTAGTTCCAGACTAACTGCTTGTGAAAGCTCTGCTTGGAGCCCCAGCCCAGCCCTGTGGAGTAGAGAAGGGCAGCGGGAGGTGTCAGCAGCCCCTCCGTGCCCCCGCCCGCGGAGGGAGCTCAGCGCTGCCCTTTTGTCACCAAAAAAAGTGTTAAACGATGAAATTGGTCCTGCTAAACCAAACCCGAGCTTGGCTCTGTCCCATGGCCGTGTCACACGCCGGGGTCGCTTCGTGCCCTCGGACTCGGACGGTGGAATAAAACAGCATCAAGGTCTTGGATTAATTCCCACGCCGACAATTTTTTACTTAATCTTTTAATATTTTTGCTACTCCACTCTGGCTTTTTATTTAAAACACATTCTTTTGTACCACTTACTGTATCAAATTGTATAAAAGATCACTGTCCCATTCTTGGTCGTACCAAGAGCAAATAAAAGCTTTTATAAACTTGCAGTGGTGACTTCCTGGGCCCCTTGAATTCCCTCTGGTTCCGGTGGGAGTGAGCCCAGCCCTGGAGGAGGGGGGATGAGTCTCCCCAAACTTTCAGGACTGGTTTGGCTGGGGGTGGAGCTGTTCCTGCTGCTTTTCCCAAAGCTGCCCGTGGCGTTTTCCGAGGGCAGGATGGTGGGAAGGGCAGCGGTCCCCCCTATGTGGGACCCCCTTGGGAGGGGGGACAGATCTTGGGGGTGTGAGGTCTCCTCTGGGGTCCTGCTGGAGAGGGCCTTTGGGCGTTTTTTGGGAAGCAGCTGTTCCATCCCATGTCCTGCACCCCGTGTTCTGCACCCCGTGTTCTGCACCCCTGCCTTGGGTGGGAATGGGGGGTGGTTGTTCCAGCTCTCCAAGAGCTCCCACTGCTGTGCCACTGTCCTTCCCCACCCTGTCCCCTCTGCCACCTCTCCAGCCTCCAGAGCTGGGTGATCCCAGCTCTCTGCAGCCTCTGGGGGCCGGGGGTGTCCCCTCCAGCAAAGCCCAGTGAGGGACCATCGTGGTGACAGCAGAGGACATTGCTGCTGCTGCCCTCTCCCTGTCCCACAGTGACCATCGTGGTGACAGCAGAGGACATTTCTGCTGCTGTCCTCTCCCTCTCCCTGTCCCACAGTGACCATCGTGGTGACAGCGGGGGCCCCACTGCTGCTGCCCTCTCCCTGTCCCACAGTGACCATCGTGGTGACAGCAGAGGACATTTCTGCTGCTGCCCTCTCCCTGTCCCACAGTGACCATCGTGGTGACAGCAGAGGACCCACTGCTGCTGCTGCCCTCCCGCTGCCAAGGTGTCCCTGTTCCCAGTGTCCCCAGTGCCGTGGTGTTCCCACTGCCACGGCGTCCCTATTCCCACAGTGTCTCCATGCTGCAGTGTCCCTGCTGCCATGGTGTCCCTGTTCCCACAGTGTCCCCAATGCCGTGGTGTCCCTGTTCCCACAGTGTCCCTGCTGCCATGATGTCCCTATTCCCATAATGTCCCCGTGCCGCGGTGTCCCTGCCACCACAGTGTCCCCGCTGCCATGGTGTCCCTATTCCCATAATGTCCCCATGCCGTGGTGTCCCTGCCACCAGTGTCCCCGTGCCGCGGTGTCCCTGCCACCACAGTGTCCCCCTGCCGCGGTGTCCCTGTTCCCACAGTGTCCCCATGCCGCTGTGTCCCCACTGCCATGATGTCCCTGTTCCCACAGTGTCCCCGTGCCGCGGTGTCCCCGCTGCCATGGTGTCCCCGTTCCCATGGCGCCGGTATCCGGGAGAGGCTGCTGGCAATAAAGCCGGGAGTGTGTCATGGCCGCAGTCCCTGGGAGGGGGCGAGGCCGTGGGGAGCAGCCCAGCGATCCCAAATCCTCCCCATCCCGGGGGGCTCGCGGTGTGGGAGCCCCGCACGGCCACCCGCGGGTGGGAGATTTTGGGGGGGAGCTCCCAAGGAGCCTCGGGGAGGGGGGAGCTGGCAGGGACCTTCCCCACACGGACGGCATCCAGCAGCCCCGGGGGTCCCGCGTGTCCGTGTCGCCCCGGGCAGTGAGCCTTGGGTCGTTCCCATCCTCCTCCTCCTCCTGCTGCTGTGTCCTTCTTCCCGTCCCCATCCCGGCTCTGTTCCAAACGTGCCCTTCCCTGTCTCCTCTCCTTTCCTACAGCTGTCCCCCCTCTTTCCCTGCTCCTTTTTCCATCCCTATAGCTGCTCCATCGTTTTCCCTGTTCCTTCCCTGCTCCTGCTTCACCCTTCTCACTGTTCCACCTCTGCTCCATCCCATCCCTGCTCCGCCCTGTCCAGCAGCCTCCCCTTGTGCTTGGCCAGGGGGACAGTGACGGGGCAGGGGACAGCACACGGTGACACGTTCCCAGGGCCGGGCACTTGCGGCTTCCTCCCCTCCTTCATCCTCCTCAGCCCAGTCTCCAGCGGAGTCGGGATGCAGCCAGCAAAGGACCGGGGAGGGGGGGCTCGGGCTGCAACCCCCCGGGCTGAGTGACCGAGGGGTGCGGGGACCCGCCGGGCCCGGTGTCCCCCGCTCAGGGTGGCCGGGAGTCCCCAGGGTGCGGATTCCCCGCTCGGGGTGACGCTGATGTCGCTGCCGAGGGTCCCCCTTAACTGTGGTGTCCCCGGCCCCCTCTCCCGGTGCCATTTGTGCGGGGGTCCCGGCCGGGACATCGAGGTGTGGGGTGGCATCGGGGTCCCCCCGGTGCCCCACTGGTCCCTTGTGCCCCCCGCAGCTCTCGTTTGGGACCCCCCGGCAGCTCCCAGTAGCGGGACGGGATGGGGAAGGGTCCCCGCGGCGTCCCGAGAGAGCCGGACCCCCAGGGCGAGCCGGGACTGAGCCCCCCGAACCCCGAGGGCGCGGGCGGAGCCGCCCCCACCCTGCAGGGCAGCGCGTCCCCCCCGGGACACCCCCGGAGCAGCCCCGCCGGGGGGTGCCCAGTCCCGAGGGGGTGCCCGGCCCCGGGGGGTGCCCGGCCCCGAGGGGGTGCCCAGCCCCGAGGGGTGCCCAGTCCCGAGGGGATGCCCGGTCCCGAGGGCCCGGCGGCGGCGGCGATGGAGCCCGGCCCGGGGCCGGCCTGAGCCGCGATGCGATGGAGAAGCTCGCGGCGGGGCTGGCCCGGCTCCGCTGGAGCCCCGCGGCGCTGCCCCTCGACGCCATCGTCAGCCAGTGCCGCCTGCCCACCCTCGTCTGCCTCGGGCAGGGTGAGCCCGGCGAGGGGGGGATGAAGTCTGGAGGGACGACAAGGAGGAGGAGGGAGGGAGGTTGGAGTGATGGGGAGGAGGAGGAGGGTGGGAGGAAGGCTGGAGGGACCAGGGGAGGGAGGGAGGATGGAGGGACGGAGAGTGAGGCTGGAGTGATGAGGAGGAGGGAGAAAGGATGGAGTGATGAGGAGGAGGGAGGGGTGGAAGGCGGAGGGATGGGGAGGGAGGGAGGAAGGCTGGAGAGTGAGGACGAGGAGGGAGGGAGGTTGGAGTGATGAGGGAAAGGGAGAGACGAAGGACGAAGGGACCGGGAAGAGGGAGGGAGGAAGTCTGGGGAGAGGAAGAGGAGGGAGGGAGACCGGAGCGATGAGGAGCAGGGAGCGGCGGAGGGTAGAGGGACGGGGAAGTGAGGAAGGCTTGAGAGTGAGGAGGAGGAAGGGAGGAAGGCTCGGAGGAAGGGATGGAGAGTGGAGGGATGAAGAGGAAGACGGGAAAGGTGGAGAGGTGAGAGGAGGAATGGTGACTGGAGAAGTGAGGAGGAGGGAGAGAGGAAGGCTGGAGGGGTGAAGAGTGGGGCTGGGAGAGGCTGAAGGGACCGGGAGAAGGAAGGAGCCTGGAGTGCTGAGGAGGAGGAGGGAGCCAGGGAGGAAGGCTGGGGGCAGGTGAGACCAAGCTGCTGTCCCGGATCCTTCCGGGTGGGGGGGCTGGGGACCCTCAGGGGGGGCTGGGGACCCTCAGAGGGGGCTGGGGACCCTCAGGGCGGGCTGGGGACCCTCAGGGGGGCTGGGGACCCTCAGGGGGTCTCTGGGCTGCTGCCCCGCGGGGATGCGAGGGGGGGAATTGTGGGCTGCTCCCACTCCCCCCTGCCATGGCCCGGCCCTTTCCCCACTGTCACCCTTCCCGGGTGACACTCTGGAGGGGCTGGCACCAGGCTGGCGGGGGCTGGGAGCCACCGTGTCCCCTCCCCACCCTCTCTGGGACACGGCCTGGCCGGGGGGGCCTGGCTGTGACCCCTCCCCAGCTCAGGCTGAGGGGGGAGCAGGGGATGGGGCAGTGTGGGGTGCAGGGACCCCCGGCCTGGCCGTGTCCCCCAGAGACAGGGGGTGCTGGGGGGGTCGGGGTGCTGCGGTTCTGGAGGGTTCCGGGGGGGCCTGCGCCGGCCCCGACTCAATAAACTTCTTGTTTGCGGCGGCTGCAGCTTTTCAGGGGGGACAAAGAAATTGTTTCCTGGGCAACTGGCGGCTCTTGGCAGCGGCACCTGCTCATCCCTCGCTCCGTCCGTCCGTCTGTCCGTCCGGCGGCGCCGGGGGGCGGGGGGGAGGGGGCTGGCGGTGGCAGTGGTGACAGCCCTGTCACCCTGTCCCCCCGCAGGTGAGCGCGTGGAGGGGGTGACAGCCCAGGACGTGCTTCTGGTCCACTCGTGCCGGCAGTGGACGACGGTGACAGCCCACAGCCTGGAGGAGGGACACTACGTCATCGGGCCCAAAATCGACATCCCGCTCCAGTACCCAGGTGGGGGAGGGGCGGGGCTGGGGACGACGGCGACAACGGGAATGGCGTCCCTGGGCCAGCAGAGCCGGGACCTGGCCCCCCTCCCCTTCCCTTCCCCCGCCCGCTGGGGCTGCTCCAGTAAGGTCCAGTTTGGGGCAGGAGATGCTCTGGTTTGGGGGCTGCCCCCACCCCTGGCAGAGCTGCAGAGGGGACTGGCAGGGTTGGGGATGGGATGGGATGGGATGGGATCCATGGGATGGGATGGGATGGGATGGGATCCATGGGATGGGATGGGATGGGATGGGATCCATGGGATGGGATGGGATGGGATGGGATCCATGGGATGAGATCCATGGGATGGGATGGGATCCATGGGATAGGATCCATGGGATGGGATGGGATCCATGGGATAGGATCCATGGGATGGGATGGGATCCATGGGATGAGATCCATGGGATGGGATGGGATGGGATGGGATGGGATCCATGGGATGGGATCGGATCCATGGGATGGGATGCAGACAAGGACAGGGATGAGGTTGGGGTAGGACGGGATAGAGCTGGGAATGGGAGAGGCGAGGATGGGATGGGGAAAAGGGACAGGGATGAGGAAGGGATGGGGACAGGGAGAGTGATGAGGATGGGATGGGCTGGGCTGGGATGAGGATGAGGATGGGGCCGGGTTGGGGCCGGCAGTGCACACGAAGGTGCTGAGCTGCCTCTGCCGGCAGCCGCCAGAGCCTTAATGACCCCTCTAAGTGCTCCGTGGCGGTAATGAGTCCTGCTAATAAATAAATAATGGGAAATGGAGGGGGGGAGGGGTTAATCACCGGTCCCAGCGGGGATGCAGGGGGCTGGGCAGTGTGTTAACAGCCTTGGGGCTCGGCCGTGCCCGGCGCTGCCCCGGGATGTGGGGCTGAGCCGGCTCCAGCCGCGGTGCCCCCGAGCCGAGCGAGGAGCTCTGGTGTCCCAGCTCCGCCGGCAGGACGGGCGGGGAATTAATAAATTAATATTCCCCTCAGGTCCGTGCCCGGCAGCGGATGCCGGTGGCGGCGGCTTCGCTGGGGCTGCAGCTCCCCCGCTCCTGTTGCTGCCCTTCCCGTTCCCGTTCCTGCCTCTCCCCATTCCTGCCTTCCCGTTCCCGTTCCTGCCTTCCCCATTCCCGTTCCTGCCCTTCCCCGTTCCTATTCCTCCTCTCCCCGTTCCCATTCCTGCCCTCCCCGTTCCTGGTTCCCGTTCCTGCCCTCCCCATTCCCATTCCTCCTCTCCCCATTCCCATTCCTGCCTTCCCCGTTCCCGTTCCTGCCTCTCCCCACTCCTGCCCTTCCCCACTCCCATTCCTGCCTTCCCCACTCCCATTCCTGCCCTCCCCGTTCCTGGTTCCCGTTCCTGCCCTCCCCATTCCCATTCCTCCTCTCTCCGCTCCCGTTCCTGCCCTCCCCATTCCCATTCCTCCTCTCCCCATTCCCATTCCTGCCCTCCCTGTTCCCATTCCTCCTCTCCCCATTCCCATTCCTGCCCTCCCTGTCCCCATTCCTCCTCTCCCCGTTCCCGTTCCTGCCTCGCCCCGTTCCCATTCCTCCTTCCCCCATTCCCGTTCCTGCCTTCCTCATTCCCATTCCTGCCCTCCCTGTCCCCATTCCTCCTCTCCCCGTTCCCGTTCCTGCCTCGCCCCGTTCCCATTCCTCCTTCCCCCATTCCCGTTCCTGCCTTCCTCATTCCCATTCCTGCCCTCCCTGTTCCCATTCCTCCTCTCCCCGTTCCCGTTCCTGCCTTGCCCCGTTCCCATTCCTCCTTTCCCCATTCCCGTTCCTGCCTTCCTCATTCCCATTCCTGCCCTCCCCATTCCCGTTCCCATTCCTGCCCTCCCTATTCCTCCTCTCCCCGTTCCCGTTCCTGCCTTGCCCCGTTCCCATTCCTCCTCTCCCCGTTCCTATTCCTGCCCTTCCCCATTCCCATTCCTCCTTTCCCTTGTTCCCGTTCCCGGTTCCCTTCCCAGTGTCTCTCCCACCCGAGCCGTGGGGTCACTGTGCCCTGGCAGAGCTGGGACGGGATTCTGGGGGGCAATGGGCACCCCTGATGATTCGGGCTGCTCTGGGCATGTTCTTGCACTCCCAGGAACGCTTTTGGGGGTCCCTGCAGCTCTGGGGGTGCCGAGTGGCACTGCTGGGACACCCCGTGGACCCCTTGCCTTGTCCCCCCCTCCAGAAACCCCCCAGTGGCTGTTGGGGGAGTGGGGGGCCAGGAGATGCTTTGGGGTCCCCTTGCAGCGCTTGGACTCTGGCAAAGCCCACAGGAGCGTCCCCAAAGACGTGGTGGGGACCGCAGGCTGCCTCAGGGGTGGCTGTCCCCTGTGAAGGGCTGTGCTGGCCCCAGGGGGGGGTGACAGCAGGTCCCTGTGAGGGGTCGGGCCCCTCTCACCTCGGGGGTCCCCTCAGGGAAGTTCAAGCTGCTGGAGCAGGACCGGGACCTCCGCGAGCCCGTGCAGTACTTCAACAGCGTGGAGGAGGTGGCCAGCATCTTCCCAGACCGCATCTTCGTCATGGAGGCCATCACCTTCAGCGTGAAGGTCCTGGGGACAGCAGGGCACGGGGCTGGGCAGAGGGGGACACTGGTGGGACAGCAGTGAGTGCTGGTGGGATGGCAGGGGACACCGAGGGCAGGGGTGGGGCAGGAGGGGAGTGGGGTGAGGTGACAGGGACTTTGGGGGTTGGTGGGACATCAGGAGAGGACGGTGGGACAGCGAAGGTTGGGGGACACCAGGGGTGAGTGGTGGGATATTGGGGGAATTGCTAGGACACCACTGCAGGGTGGGGGGAATAAAGGGGGGAGCGTGGGAAAGCAAGGGACAGGGCTGGGACATCAGGAGAGGACAGTGGGACAGCAGGGAGTGGTGGTGGAGCACCAGAGATGGTGGTGGGATGATGTCAGGGGATGGTGGTGGGACATCAGGAATAATGGTGGGATGATGTCAGGGGATGGTGGTGGAGTGTCAGGGATGGTGGTGGGACACCAGGGGATGGTGGTGGGATGTCAGGGGATGCTGGTGGGCCGTCAGGGGTAGTGTTGGGGTGTCAGGGATGGGGGTAGGCCATCAGGGGATGCTGGGGGGCCATCAGGAGTAGTGTTGGGGTCTCAGGGATGGTGGTGGGACACCAGGGGATGGTGATGGGATGTCAGGGATGGTGGCGGGCCATCAGGGGTAGAGTTGGGGTGTCAGGGGTGCTGGTGGGCCATCAGGAGGAGTGTTGGGGGGTCAGGGATGCTGGGGGGCCATCAGGAGTAGTGTTGGGGTCTCAGGGATGGTGGTGGGACACCAGGGGATGGTGATGGGATGTCAGGGATGGTGGCGGGCCATCAGGGGTAGAGTTGGGGTGTCAGGGGTGCTGGTGGGCCATCAGGAGGAGTGTTGGGGGGTCAGGGATGCTGGGGGGCCATCAGGAGTAGTGTTGGGGTCTCAGGGATGGTGGTGGGACACCAGGGGATGGTGATGGGATGTCAGGGATGGTGGCGGGCCATCAGGGGTAGAGTTGGGGTGTCAGGGGTGCTGGTGGGCCATCAGGAGGAGTGTTGGGGGGTCAGGGATGCTGGGGGGCCATCAGGAGTAGTGTTGGGGTCTCAGGGATGGTGGTGGGACACCAGGGGATGGTGATGGGATGTCAGGGATGGTGGCGGGCCATCAGGGGTAGAGTTGGGGTGTCAGGGGTGCTGGTGGGCCATCAGGAGGAGTGTTGGGGGGTCAGGGATGCTGGGGGGCCATCAGGAGTAGTGTTGGGGTCTCAGGGATGGTGGTGGGACACCAGGGGATGGTGATGGGATGTCAGGGATGGTGGCGGGCCATCAGGGGTAGAGTTGGGGTGTCAGGGGTGCTGGTGGGCCATCAGGAGGAGTGTTGGGGGGTCAGGGATGCTGGGGGGCCATCAGGAGTAGTGTTGGGGTCTCAGGGATGGTGGTGGGACACCAGGGGATGGTGATGGGATGTCAGGGATGGTGGCGGGCCATCAGGGGTAGAGTTGGGGTGTCAGGGGTGCTGGTGGGCCATCAGGGGCAGTGTTGGGGTGTCGGGGCACAGGGCAGGGCAGCGGGTGCCACGTCGGGGCTTGTCGCGGGCAGGTGGTGTCGGGGGAGTTCAGCGAGGACAGCGAGGTTTACAACTTCACGCTGAACGCGGGGGACGAGCTGACGCTGATGGGGCAAGCGGAGATCCTGTGCGCCAAGACGGTGAAGGAGAAGTCGCGCTTCAACACCCTCCTGCGCAAGCTGGGCAAGGCGGCGCCGGCGGCGGGCGCGCGGCAGGCGAAGGGCAAGATGCCGTGCCTGATCTGCATGAACCACCGCACCAACGAGAGCCTGAGCCTGCCCTTCCAGTGCAAGGGCCGCTTCAGCACGCGCAGCCCGCTGGAGCTGCGCCTGCAGGAGGGCGAGCACACCATCCGCAGCATCATCGAGAAGGTGAGGCTGCCCGTCAACGTGGCCGTGCCCAGCCGGCCCGCCCGCAACCCCTACGACCTGCACGCCATCCGCGAGGGCCACTGCTACAAGCTGGTCAGCATCATCTCCAAGACGGTGGTGCTGTGCTGCATCCTGCGCCGGGAGGAGCTGGTGCCTTTCCACTTCTTGCTGCTGACCGACATGCCCCGCTTCCAGCTGCCCGAGGGGCTGCTGGCCGGGGACCCGCAGCTGGAGAAGCTGCTGCGGGACAGCGCCGCGTATTGCCACGACCGCTTCAACCCCGACGAGTACTCGCGGGCCGTGCGAGAGGCCAAGCCGGACTTCTTGGAGGAATGCGCCAGCCCGCGGCGCCTGCGGCTCTGCCTGCCCGCCTGCGGCCGCGAGGAGCTCAGCCAGCCCCTGCGGCGCCTCTCGCTCTGTGCCTGCGGCTCCGGGGGTCCCCGGGAGCCCCCCGCCCGCCGGCAGGGACCGCGGGGCCTCGGCGGGGGCACCCCGCGCCCGCCGCTGCCCGACTTCCCCGACCCCGAGCGGGAGTACATGACGCCCGACTGGGCCGAGCCCGAGTTCAGGACTCAGGAGCCGCTGGAGATTCCCTACGAGGAGCTGTGGAGCAATCCCAGCCCGGAGGGCTGCTGCGAGCTGGGCAGCAGCGGCGTGCGGCCCGACCTCGTCTCCTTCGGGGCTGTCACCCCGCTGGGCTCCCCGCACCGCCCCGGGGACAGGGACGAGCCCCGCGGGGACACCCCGCCCCCCGTGCCACCCAAATCGGAGGCGGTAAGAGCCCGGTCCTGTCCCCAGGGATGGGGAATGGCATCGCCGGGGTGCTGGCAGCCAATCCGTGGCAAGGCCAGCGCCGTGGCAGGGCAGCCCGATCCCCTCCCTGTCCCCTGGCCCTGGGGTCCCTCCTGCTTGGTCACCCAAATATCCAGCCTCGGTTCCCAGGGCTGCCCATCACCGATCCTGGGGACACCCTCGTACCGCGGCACCCCCCGTTCCCCAGGGCTCTCTGCACCGGCGGGTACCTCAAGCTCCCAAAACCGTGGGGTACCCAGATCCTCTGGCCTTCCCTACACAAAATTTCACCCAATATTTTAGTCTCCTCGCACCACGGGGTAGGAGGGCCCCAAGTCTCCCCATGCAGAGCTTTGCGGCCGGGCAGCACCGGCTGTCCCCGAGCCCCCATCACCCCCTCCAGCCTCGGGGATCCCCAGCTCCCGCTGGGGCCCTGACGGCGCTGCCCCGTTGCAGGTGAAGGAGGAGTGCCGGCTGCTGAACGCGCCCCCGGTGCCGCCCCGGGGCAGCCGCCCCCCGGCCCCCTGCAGCCCCCCGGCCCCCCTGCGCTGCCCCAAGCTGGCACCCGTGCCCTCGCCCAGCCCCAGCCTCTCCTACTACTCCTCGGGGCTCCACGACGGGTGAGTGGCTCCGGGGACTCTGGAGAGGGTGTGGGGGGGGGTACCTGGAACCCGGGGATGGGGACACCGCGCCGGGGTGATGGTGACAGTGCCCTCGCCCCGGTAGGTCGGCCCCGCGGAGCGGCAGCGCCTCGCCCTCTCCGGACGCGTACTCGCTGTACTGCTACCCCTGCACCTGGGCCGACTGCAAGGCCTCCGAGCCCCCCGGGCGGCCGCTGCCCCCGGCCCAGCCCGCGCCCAGCTCCTGGTCCGACCCCTGGGCGTTCCCCGAGCCGGGCGCCGGGGCGGGCAGCGGCTGCTCCACGCCTCTGCTGGGGGCCGAGCCCCCCCTCAAACCCTTCCGCAGCTGCCCCCGCCTCAAGCCCCCGAACCCCCAAAAGCGCTTCGCCCCCTTCGGCGCTCTCAACCCCTTCGCCGGCCCGGCGGAGTGGCCGGAGAGCCCCGAGTGGTCCAAAGCGCCTTCGGCCCCGGCCGCTCCCTCCTCCTCCTCCTCGCCGGAGCCCTTCGCCCCCGCCGAGGAGCCGGCGGCACCCCCTCGCCCCCCCAAGGGCTTGGACGGGGACGGCATCGTCATCCGGGGGGCGGCCCCGCTGTCCCCTGCCGTGCTGCGCGGGGCCGAGGGCGTCACCCGCGTGTACCTGGCGCAGGGGGTGATCGAGGTGCCGCCGGTGGCGCGGGGCGACGGGGCAGCACCCCCGGGCGCCCCCCGGCCCGGCGGGGACAGCCCGGCCTGGCTGCCCCCCGCCGACCTGTCGGCGCTGTCGCTGGAGGAGGTGTCCAAGTGCCTGCGCTTCATCGGCCTCTCCGAGGACGTGGTGAGCTTCTTCGCCCGCGAGAGGATCGACGGCAGCATCTTCGTGCAGCTCAGCGAGGAGATCCTGGCCGATGATTTCCGCCTCACCAAGCTCCAGGTGAAGAAGATCATGCAGTTCATCAAGGGCTGGCGCCCCAAGATCTAGCGCCAGGCCGGGGGCCCCCTGCACTGGGGGGGTCCCCAAGTCACCTGGAGCTCTGGGTGGCACCGCTCCCGTCCCTCTCTGATGCTGCAGGTTCTCCTCTCCCACTGCCCAGCCCTCCCCCCTTTCCCCTTTTAACACTGGACAGTAATTTTGGCCCCAACGGGCTGGAAAACACTGGATTTTGCGTCGACTGGTTTAACTTAATCCTTGTGGATTAGCATAATAAATGTACGGGAGAGTAATGAGCCCCCAGAGAAGGCCCTTGCTTGGGGAGGAGGGGAAGGGGGGAGGATGGATGCTCTGAGGGGTCTTTCCCCACCTTGCAGACCCTTCCCATGTCTTGGGAAGGGATTACCAGCCCCATGCCTCCCCCAGCACTCAGCAGAGGCAGATGAGATGATGTCTTGGCCCAGTTCTGGTCTGGGAGCTTTGAAAGACAGGGAGAGGTGACATGAAGAGCAGCAGGGCTCAGCCATGGCCCAAGGCCTGCCAGGGAGCAGGAAAATGGCTGGAAGCTGGAAAGGAAGCCAGGGAAGGGGGGGGCCAGGCCAGTGACAGGTGCCCAGAGATTTAAAGCCTTTTAGTTTAACTTGATCTCTCCCCACGGGGGGGCCCTCTGGCCTTTGGCTGCTCGATCTGCAATTACAGGCAGGTCCATCTGCCAGGATCACCCCGTGGCAGAGAGCTGGAGGCTCCTCACAGTCCCTGAGTGGCAGGGGCTCCTCACAGCCCATGAGGAATGGCAGAGGTGACACTGCTTTGTCCTGCACTGCTGCCATCCTGCCCCTCCACGGACAGGACCCCAGGGCACTGCCTGGACCACTCAATCCCCACTCAAGCTGTTCCCTCAGGGGGATGGGAGGAGAAGCAGGAGTCCAAACCCAGGAGATGGGGCTTTATTTTGGTGGATGTTGATGGAAAGACAAGGCCTTTCCAGCCACAAGCTGGATGCTACTGGCCAGACTGGGAGCTCTGGAGGCCACGGCATGAAGGCAAAGGCAGCAGAGGAATTCCCTCCCCCAGCACGGAGCCCCCAGGCCCAGGCTGGCATGGGACGGACGTTCCCAACACACAGTGGCTGGTAAGGCACTTGAAATGACTACAAGCCATGAGGCAACCTCCTGCCCCACTCCTTCCTTCCTTTCTTCTTTCTTTCCTTCCTTTCTTCCCTTCCTCCCCGGGGAGCTTTGGAGATTAACCTATGGAGAATGGGGTGTTGTGGGGAGCCAGGGCCTGGCTGGAGGAGCTGTCGGGGTGTCACCAGGCCACCTCAGGGGTGGAATTTCTTGCTGGGGCTGTTGGCGTGGTCCAGCAGGAGCTGGCACGGTGTGAACTGGCTGCCGTACACGGCCTCGTACTTGCGCAGTTTGTCCACGAGCTGCCGGGCGCCGTAGGAGTCCGCGAACCTGAAGGGACCTGCGGGGACAGGGACACAGCTGTGACAGGGACACGGCTGTGACAGGGACACGGTGGGGACAGGGACACGGTGGGGACAGGGACACGGCTGTGACAGGGACACGGTGGGGACAGGGACACGGCTGTGACAGGGAAACGGCAGGGATGGAGACATGGTGGTGATGGGGACAGGGACACGGCTGTGACAGGGACACGGTGGGGACAGGGACACGGCTGTGACAGGGACACGGTGGGGACAGGGACACGGCTATGACAGGGAAACGGCAGTGATGGAGACACGGTGATGATGGGGACAGGGACACGGCTGTGACAGGGACACGGTGAGGACAGGGACACGGCTGTGACAGGGAAACGGCAGGGATGGAGACAAGGTGGGGATGGGGACAGGGACACGGCTGTGACAGGGACACGGTGGGGACAGGGACACGGCTGTGACAGGGACACGGTGGGGATAGGGACACGGCTGTGACAGGGACACGGTGAGGACAGGGACACGGCTGTGACAGGGAAACGGCAGGGACGGAGACACGGTGGTGATGGGGACAGGGACACAGCTGTCACAGGGACATGATGGGGATGGGGAAAGGGACATGGCTGTGACAGGGACACGGCAAGGACAGGGACATGGCTGTGACAGGGACACAGCAAGGACAGGGACATGGCAGGGACGGGGACACAGCTGGGACATGGCAGGGAAAGGGACACATCTGGGACAGGGACACACTGCTGTGACACGGACACGGCAGGGTCAGGAACACAGCTGTGACAGGGACATGATGGGGATGGGGAAAGGGACATGGCTGTGACAGGGACACGGCAAGGACAGGGACACGGCTGTGACAGGGACACAGCTGGGACACATGGCTGTGACACAGACATGGTGGGGACAGGAACACAGCTGTGACAGGGACACAGCAGGGACAGGGACACGGTGGGGAAAGGGGGACAGCTGTGACAGGGACAAGGTGGGGACAGGGACACGGCAGGGACAGGGACACAGCTGGGACATAGCAGTGACAGGGACACAGAGGGGACAGGGACACAGTTGGGACATGGCAGTGACAGGGACACAGAGGGGACAGGGACACAGCTGTGACAGGGAAGCACCAAGGTGCCTGGAAGGGTCCCAGCATCCAGAAGCAACGGCTTTGTCCCATTCATCCTTCTCCACAGGAGACCCCCCCAGTCCCTCATCAGGGACTCTGCTCCCTGCTCACCTGAGCTGGGGAGGGCTGGGGACAAGCTGGGACACTGATAATCACAGAGTCATGGATGGTTTGGGTGGGAAGGGACCTCAAAGCCCATCCATTCCCACCCTGCCAAGTCTCACTACCTCCCACTGTCCCAGGGTGCTTCCAGCTCGTGTCCAGCCTGGCCTTGGGTGCTTCCAGGGATCCAGGGGCAGCCCCAGCTGCTTTGGGCACCCTGTGCCAGGGCCTGCTCACCCTGCCAGGGAAGAATTCCTAATTCCCAATATCCTGTCCAAACATGGGAAGCCATTCCCCATTGTCCTGCCCCTCCAGGCCTTTGTAAGAAGCTGCTCCCTCAGTCTGAACATGGCTCAAGGAGAGAAAGCACCAGGCACATGGCAGAAGCACCAACTTAGATCCAAGAGCCCTTGGTGAACTCCAGCAGCAGAGGGAAGAGACAGCATCAGAATCAAGGAATTATTTAGGGGGCAAAAGCCCTTTGAGACTATTGAGTCCAAACATCCCTCAGCAGTGCCAAGACTACAACTAACCCACGGGCTTTTGAATCCCTCCAGGCATGTGGTGTCCAGCCCTGCTCTGCACAGCTGTGCCACTGCTGGACAGCCTGGAATTATTCCCAATATCCAACCTACACCTTCCCTGATGCAGCCTGAGGCCATTTCCTCAGGCTGCAGCTCAAACCTGGCCTTGCCACGTGGCTGCAGCCCACGAGGAGCTTTGGAGCCCGAAGCTCAGCCCAGAGCACTCACCTCCCAGGCAGGGGGGGAAGCCCAGGCCGAACACAGCCCCGATGTCCCCCTCCACGGGGTTGCTGAGGATGCCCTCCTGCAGGCACATGGCTGCCTCGTTGACAAACCGCGTCACCAGGCGCATCTGGATGTCCTCGTCGGAGCAGCTGTGGGACACAGGCTGTGAGGGCTGGGCAGGGACAGCACACAGGTGGGACACGGAGCCAGGACAGGGGTGGGAATGTCCCAGACCATGTGAGGATCAGAGCTTAGCTCTGTGAGTGTCCTGAAGCAGGCACTAAGAACCAGGCTGAGATTGGAAGGGACCACTGGGGCTCCTCTAGTCCACCCTCTGTGCCCAAGCAGGTTTCCTGGAGTGTGGCATGCAGGATTGTGTCCAGGTGGATTTGGAATAAAAGCAAAGGCTTGATCAGCTTCTGTGTTCAGCAATGCCATGGAATGACAGAATGGTTTGGGATGGAAGGGACCTTAAAGCCATCCAGTGCCACCCCTGCCATGGACAGGGACACCTCCCACTGTCCCAGGTTGCTCCAAGCCCCAGGGATCTTCCAGGGGATCCAGGGGCAGCCCCAGCTGCTCTGGGCACCCTGTGCCAGGGGCCTGCCCACACTGCCAAGGAACAATTCCTCATTCCCAATCTCCTATCCAGCCCTGCCCTCTGGCAGTGGGAGCCATTCCCTGGCTCCTGTCCCCAGTCCCTCTGCAGCTCTCCTGGAGCCCCTTCAGGCCCTGCCAGGGGCTCTGAGCTCTCCCTGGATCCTTCTCCTCTCCAGGTGAGCCCCTCCAGCTCTCCCAGCCTGGCTCCAGAGCAGAGGGGCTCCAGCCCTGGAGCACCATGTCCCTCAATGCCACCTGATGCACCTCGTGCTGCTGCTGAGAGCACAAGGGCAGGGCAGGAGCCAGCCCCAGCCTTCCCTCACACACAGGTACTCACACGTCAGGATTCGCTGGCACCCTGAACTTCTCCAAGATCTCATCCATGCCAGAATTCACACTCCTGTTCTTCACTCCCTCCTGGTACACATAGAAGCCTTTCCCTGCCTTGCGACCTGCAGGGATCACAGCAGACAAGTCAGCTCCTGCACGTGTCCTGTTTCCTCCTGACACCTTGGATCCTGTTTTGTGCCTGCTGTTCCTGCTCCCAGCACTCTGCACCTCAGAGCACAGATCAGCTGCCTCAGCATGGGCACAGGGAAAGGACCCAGCTCCCCCTTGGCAAGATGCTGCCACTGTGCCAGGCCCTTTCTCTGGGTCCAGAGGCCCAACAGCACCACTACTTCTATGGGAGGGATTCCTGCCCCATTCCCAGCGCTGTGCCCCCTGCTGTTGCCTCCCCACCGGAGCAGAGGGGACACTCTTTAGCTGAGAACACCTCAGCAGCTCACCTAAGAAGCCTTTCTGCACCATGAGCTTGAAGAGGTCGATGCTGCCCCCTCCGAAGCGCTGGCCAAAGGCCTTGCCCAGGTCCTCGGCCACGTGCGTGGCCACATCCACGCCCACCTCGTCAATCAGCGTGGCCGCTCCCACCGGGAAGCCGAAGGCAGTGGAGATGGCATCCACCTTCTTTGGGTCAATACCCTCCTGTGGGATAGGAGGGGAAGCCATGGGATCTCAGGATGAGGTGAGGCAGAGAGCCCAGCCCCATCAACTGACTGCAAACAGGAGCCGAGAGCAGGCTGGGGACAGCCACAAAACACGGGGTTGGTGACCCACATCCTCTCCTGTCCACAGCCAGGTT